CAGGCTCATGGTGTGCTCATTTTCATGTGCTATCACCAATTTTAACTGAGCTTGCTAATAATATGCCCCACCCATCTTACCTTCCTTAAGGTCAATGTTGATGAACTTGAGGCAAGTTTGCTCATATCATCTTCTTATACAGATTGTTTCAGCATTATTTTGGGTATTTAGAAATAAGCAATTTGTGTTTGTTGGTGTTACAAAGCATTATTCAGAAGGACTCAATGGAGGCTATGTCAACATTCTTGTTTCTGAAGAATGGAGAGATAGCAAACATGGTTGTGAGTGCTAAAAAAAATGAACTCAATGCTTGTATGGCCAAACATGTGGTAGATTTCGTATCTGCCTAATATATTAACTATTTAAGTATGATAATTAGCAACTTATTTCTCTGTTTGTTGAATATGCATAAGTGGAAGTTGTTGTGATCATGGTTTTTACTTTCATTAGTATATTGAAGTTTCTAAAGAACATAAATTTTTGATAAATCAACATCTAGCAGGGTTATTTCGTTTTTTGGAGTTTCCAAATCTGGTAAGCTGGGATTCTCCCTAAACTAAACTTAAAGGTATTATTATCAAAACATAATCTTTTGTGTTGATGTATTTACTATAGTACTACTAGGCGAATGCCTGCGCGTTACACATGTTAAAGTTATGTAGTTAAAATTTTCAATAATGTGTCTGGTTGAAAGTGATTATGTTACTGATATTACTTACATAATAACAATTCTTATATTATGTTGATATAGTAAACCGTTAACTCTTTTAACAATATGATTAGATAGACATATATTAGAATAATATCTTACAAACAGCCCCCACCCCTGTTTTGCGCATGAATAAAATCACATATAATTATCGATTCAATATTACTTTTAACAATTGTTATGATTAACTAATTTAAAAACTACAAATTTGATTGAGTATTATTTTCAATTACTGTTATGGTTAATTAGTTTTAAAAAGTAATTTATTTGGTTGATGTTATAACCTAGTGAAACATATTTACATGAATTATCTTAAAATTAAACCGTAAAAAACATAACAATATTACAAAAGATTATTATTCATGGTTTTAACATATCGTCAAATCGTTTAAAATTAATATTTAATTATTTATTATATAGTTTGTAAAACCATGACAAATAATATAACTTTCAAATTGAAAATAAAAAATCAAGAAATTATATTAAAATAGAAAAATTATATATATTCTAATAACTAGAAAGGTGACCCCCGCGTTGCGGGGGTCGGAAGGTGTCGCTTTTATGTGGAAGTATAGTACATTCTTCTAATTGGTAGCTACAGTAAAGTATGTTGCTATTGTCTACGTTTCGCCCATTTACAAATACACAAATATATTGTAGTATGTTATAATATAATGACCCCTTTGTGTTGCAAAGTAAATAGCAAGTGCGGCAGCAACACCTTGTTAAAAAAAAGTAAAGTATTACCTCTCGAATATTAAATAAAGCAATGGCTATGAAAATTTTGTCCAATTATAGCATTGTATTTTAATATTTCTTTTCTTATTAAGACGATTGCAATACAAAAAACTGAAAGTAGGATGGTATAATAAACATTTCAATGAAATTATGTTGCTATTTTATCTCACTAAAAAGAAAAACCATTTCACATCAGCCAATTATTTCGGTTTTACCTGTTAAATCCATAAAATGTTAAAAAATAAGAATACAATGTATGGAAAAAATGAAAATTATGAAAGAAATTAGAAAAAGAAAGAAAAAAGACCGTTTCTTGAGATTGCTCTATATGTAAAAAAAATAAGAACACAAAAGGGCCGTTGCTTGATTTACCTCAAATTGAGAGTCCATAGTAAGAACTTTTCATCTTCGAGCTCTGACTACAACTGTTTCTCATAATTTTGCTAAAAGGGTAAACTTGTCTTTTTCATATGATGATCGCTTGGTAAGGATTTAAAGTTGAGTACATAAACATAAAAGGATGAACACAGTAGGTGTCAAATAGAGAGCATGTGTTGCAAGGAGAAGAGCTAATCATCTATAAACCAAACAACATCAAATTAACTTAAAAAATAAACTAATGTAACCAATATGAAAAGCTAAAGTAAGTAAAATGAACCATATGATAAAAAAGAGGATTATTCAAAGTTTTGACCTATCTAAATATTCCCCTTTCCAAAAGTATCAGCTTAATCTCCAACAATTGCTTCTTATCTCTAGGGGTGAGCATATTAACCGAAAAACCAAACCATAACCAAATTAACCAATATAACCGAACCATTACTAAAAGATATGGTGCGGTTTCTAATTTTGATTAACCGAATACATATGGTTCGGTTATGGTTTACATCCAAAACCGAACCACTATTAACCGAACCGAACCAATAATATTAATAATTATTTTTAATATAATATAATATTAAATACTCCCTCATTCCATATTTATTATCCACTTTTGAATTTTGGTGTATTTATTTCTCAACTTTGACCTTAAATATTTTTGTTTTTTATATATAATACTTGAGGCAGAATATATGAATGGATTGTATTTTAAATGTCTTTTCATTGTTATAAGTTTCATCAAGTAATTTATAATACAAATAAAAATATTTAAGGTCAAAGCTAAATAATAATACTTCAAAAGTCAAAAGTAAACAATAAATATAGGATGGAGGGAGTATAATGTATGTAATATATTGAGAATTGAAATTTTAAAGGGAAATTACTTGGAATTAGATATGATAAGTAATCTTCTATCAATATAGTTATATATACACAATCATTCATTTTTTATAACAATGGATTTATGTTTTTCAATTTTTATAGAAAAATATTTTTATTTTTATGTCATTTTGGACCATTATGGTTAACCGATATTAACCGTTAACCATAACCATTAACCGACTAAAACCGTTATCCAAAACCAATATTAACCGTTACCCAATGGTTATTGAAATACATTAACCAATTGTAATGGTTATGGTTCGGTTTTGACCAATAACCGAACCAAACCGCCCCATACACACCCCTACTTATCTCTAGCATTACAGAAATCTAGTTTAAAGAAAATTTCACACCGTAGATTAAAATAAAGATACAGATCATATAGAAATCAATCATAATAATACCTTATTAATAGCAGGATTGTGAATAATTTCGTTTGTGATCCAAGTCTTTTCATCATGATATTCTTTCACCTTACGGTAGATAAAATATGAACGATTCGGTTCATCTTATGCAATGTCATAATAAACTGAAACTGAATATTGTTACCAAAAGCTTGTTGACATAAATTAAAACATACATATTGCAACAAAGCACCTTTCTGATCTTTTATAGATCATCAATCTGAAAAGCCAAAACAGCAATACAAAGTATACATGACAAAACATAGGAGAGGATTTGTGTTGTGACAATAACCTGGGTAAAAAGCATTTGAAGGGTGAAATTGAAAAGAAACATAGAAGAAAGCAATAAGGATGAAGGAAAATTGTAAAATGTACAGTTAGGCAAAATTAGATTATTACAAATTAGGACAGAAAAATCCCAAACCTGGCAATAAAAAGGTCAGGCATTGTCAAATTAAACGATCAGATGCTTCAATTTGCAACCTTCTTTCATATGTCGACCCTCTGTTTCATCAAACTCACATCAAACTCTAAACCACCCTTGATTGATTCTGTCATCTCTCTCAATCTGTCAGCCCATCGTTTTTCTTTTTTCTGTGGAAACAATTCCATACGAACACAGAGAAATCAAAAGAAAGTTGAGCATGCCGAAGAAAGAAATCGACGAAACTACTTTGATTATTTCTTCCAGAACTGCTCTTTCCAATCCCAATTCGAAGATCGAACGACTGAGCAGTGAAAATCAGAACTAACCTAAGGCATAGAAACCAAGATTATAGAGAGCAAAGGAAGATTATGAGAAAAAAGAACACGTCTTAATCGATCTTCGAAGGGTCTGCAATTAGTAAGCAAATATTCAGTAAGCCCTAATTAAAAGTCGAAATAGAACGAAATTAAAACAAAGTGAAATACAGAGAAGGGGTAGCAGCCGTCGACCTCATCAGTCGATTGTCACTACCGCGTCTCATCGTCGTGACCGCTTTCATCGGCTGAAGAATACAGTCGATACCCCCGAGTCCGAATACGAATCTAAGTCAGAGTGAATATCGGAATCCGATCAATTGTCGTCCTCATCGGCCGACGTGATTTCGTTTAACGGTGGCGCCAATTTAACGGTGGCGCCGATTTGATTGAAAGTGATGAGCGGTAGGGGAGCGCCGGAGATCGTAAAGTCATCTGCTTTTTGTGTAAGAATGGATGGAGAAGGCAAGCAGTAGGCGGTGATATAGATCGGTGAGAATGAAGCATTATAGACTATAGAGGCAGTGAAGCAGTTAACCCAATAAACAGTCTACGGTAACCGGAGGAACAGTACCCTGGTCAGGTATTGTTCCTAACTTTCATTTCCTTAATATATACAAAGTGACACACAAACAAAAATGGAGGGACTGAAAATGTAATTTAAGGGACCAAAGCTGACAAAAATGTCTCAGGTTTACTGTTCTTTTTCTTCACAACTTTAATCTACCCTAATAAAAGAAAATAACATTGCCACATGTCATCACCTTATTCACTATGCCACATGGCATTTTATCTATTTTTCCAATTACCTTTAATTCCACTTGGCAAATTCTAATTTTTTTGCTTTTAAATTAAAAAATCCGTAATGAAAATACAATATATCAATTTCCCTGAATTTAAAGAAAGTCAATAACTACTTAAAAGCTCACGTAATTTTTGCAAGGGAGGTATTAATTTCAAATAAACCTTCTTAATTATCATCAACAAAATTCTGTCAATCCCTTTAAAAATAACGTTAATTTGGAGAAACTTTTCAAACATTCCTTCACTCACGTAATTTTTGCAAGGAATGTATCAAACTTTTACATCCTTTCCAAAAATCATTTTTATAAATTACTTTTTATGTATAACTCAATTCTATTAATATGTTATCACTGTCTCTTGCAATATTGAGTTTACAGCATCGTCTTCTAAAGTTTTGCATCATCACAGTGGAAAATCTTCTTTTTAATCACAGAGTTCAATCCATTCGGTAAGTTTATAAAAAAAACTACTTTTAAATTGTTTGTTTATCTTTTGTTTCTTCTTGTGTTTTTTTAATGTGTGTGTTGTTTTTTTAACATCTTCTCAATGTGTATGCGTGTGTGTGCGTTAACTGTTTATGTTCATGTGTGCTTGTGTTTAACTGTTTATGTTCCTAAATCAATCCAATATAAAACGCATGATTCTGACTTTTGAGTTTTCATTCCATGTATCAAAATGTGGTAGATGAAAACAGGGGCGTTAAAACGTATGATTAAATGTCTGTAACTCTCTATGTATAAGTTCTGGAGCAACATTGAAGCTGTAAATAAATAACATGAACAAGGATTTTTTATGTAGACTTTTGTTAAACAGGAGACTTAGAATGAAATAAATTGTCTTATAAAAGCCCCTGTTTTCCATCCTAAGTCCTTGCTTTCAACCTTGGGAATCAAAATTGAAACCATTTACAGCAATATAATTAAAAAAAAATTAATTGTTATTCATGTTTTTGTTCAACTATGCTGTTTTAGGTGTTTTCCTACTTATTTGAAAGTTGTTATATTTGTTTCATGTGATGGAATGGAAACAGGAAAAGGAATGGAATACTCTATTATCACTGTTATTGTTTTTTTTTGTTATAATGTAGATTAATTAAAGTGAAAAATACAAATACTTTTTTCTGTCCCCAACTGTTTACTATTTTTGTATGACCAAGGGTCAAAAACGTCATTTTTACATTTTTCTTGGTTGTTTACACATTTGGTACATATTAACCTAAATGTGAATTTGCATACATTCAATCTACTTACAATTCAAAAAAAAACATATAAATATTCTTCATAACTCCAGTCGTTTCATTACCCATAGCAGATAACAAACTGAATACCTCTTAGAATCATGATAACATCAGTGCTGTTACAGGTGTTATTAGAAAAAAAAAACTACAAAAAAGGTATGCTTTAATTGGGATGGTTTTTCAAAACAAATATGCTTTTATTATAGCAAAAAAGGAAGTGGTTATATTTTTGTTTTACTATTCCATATTTCGTATTTTGGGCATTGCTGCAGAACTGACTTTGTTTTGCTATTTATTTAAAAGTGGTTATATTTTTTTGGTGTGATGGAATGAAAACAGGAAATATGGAATAGGATGGTCTATTATCACTATTATTGTTGATTTTTTTATGTTTTAATGTTGATTGATTAAAGTGAAAAATACTAATAATTTTTTTTGTCCCCAACTATTTATGATTTTTCTATGAGCAAGGGGCAAAAACGTCATTTTTACAAATCTGTTGGCTATTTAACATGTCTGGTCCATATTGACCTAAATGTCTATTTGCATATCTTCAATCTGCAGAACCGACTTTGTTTTAATGTTTTATGTAAAAAAAATGAAAATTCCATTTTATAACAACTTCAAATAAAGTAACTCTCCTCGGAAGATACCGAATACAATTTTTTCCCCTGCAATATGGTGAGCCTGTTGAACATCGTATGTTTTGATTATAGTTGTGGGACACTTCTAGTATCTTCGGATTACTCATGTTATGTTTAATACCTTTGTAAACTAATATATTTGTAAATTAATAATTTTTAGTCATTATGATTTCTCTCTAACCTTATTTGACAGTTTTACACATTTGGTACATGATTGACCTAAATGTTTTGTCATTTATGCAATTAAAATGGTGTTTTCTTATGTTCATTACTACATTCTTGCATAGATTAATGGAAAACAGGAAGATTAGCATGATAAGTGAGTTGGCTCTCTCACAAGATGACTATACCATTAAGGTCCGTGTCATCCGTTTGTGGAGACAAACTTCATGGAATCAACAACTTCGTATGATTGGCATGATATTGATGGATGAAATGGTATGTTATAACTTACGTATGTTAACTTACAATTATATGTATGTGTATTATAACTTACATATTTTATATATCATTACATTTATTGTATGCTTATTAATTAATATTTGATTTTTTATCTTAAGGGCTCAAAAATTGAATGTAATGTGGACAAACCATTTGCATCGCTTCAAGGAAAATCTTTTGAAGAATATGGTGATTACTACATTCATAAACCCACATTAGGGTTAAATGAAGGTGCTATAAAGTTTGTTGACGGTCCACACAAACTCTATTTCCAGTATAACACGAAGGTAACTAAATGCATAGATTTTTGCGGGCCACAGAATTCTTTTGATTTTGCAGACTTCCAACAACTTCATGATAATGCAATAAACCCAAAAATTTCATTTGGTTAGTGCATTTCCTTTCAACCCATTCCTAATGGATTAAAATATTTAAATTTCATTTTTTACACCACAAAAAAACATACTTACATTTTTCCTTTTGTATAATATAGATGTTATTGGAAACGTTTTCCGGTGTTTTCCATTGGAACCTGCAAAGGATAGACAGGAAAAGAAAATCACATTCAAAATGGAGGATTTAGAGTGGGTTTCATTTTTTATACCTATAATTACTCTTTTTATTATATATTTTTTTAGTAATTTTCATCATTTTTTACAGAGGACATGAAGTTTTTGTTACCCTATGGGGAATGTATGCTGATGAAATTAATGCATATGTCTCTAAGCATACCAGTCATTTTGTATTGCTTATTCAATGTGCTAAGTTGAAGCTTGTCCGAGGTACTTACTTAGTAAATTGTTAATTTGTAATATTTATATTAATAACATATCTATGATATGAATTTGTTAACATGTGGAAAATTATTAAATTTCATTTTCAGATCGTCCTTATGTCAATAACACCTACTTGGCCACAAAACTTTATATTGAAGATGACATTGAGGAGATAACAACTTTCAAAAAAAGGTTATGTGAAATTTCTACATGATTTCTCATTACGTTTTAATGTTTCAATAATATAGAGTTATACTATCTAACATTAATTATCTTAATTAGTTTACAAGCACAAAAAGGCTCTTTGACTTCCTCAGTTTCACGTACCTCGGGTTCATCCATCATGTATTCACTACATGATGACTTTCTTCAGAAAAACTCTTTTCACCAAATATCCGCTATTCACGAATTGAACGAGGTATATGAATTATGCTTTTTTTATTTAGTTAATTCAACACTTAAATATTTAATACACCTAAATACACCTAATATCATAGGGAGGTTGTGCGGTAATTCTTGGCACAATAAAGATGTTTGAAGATACACGGAACTGGTATTATAATGCTTGCAAACATTGCAAGTCAAAGGTTCAAATAGTTAAGGTTTCAGATGAGACGGTCAATGGCTTGGACCAGTTAGAAGAGAAAGAGATTATGGTTTGTACAAATGAAAAGTGCAAGGACAAACTTATTACTGCTGAACCAAGGTGTGTAATAAATATTAACTTAGTATGTTATTCTTCAATATTATTATATTTAATTTAAACTTTTAAAATTTTTATGTGTTTTTTTAGTTTTATGATCAAAGTTCGAGTTCAAGGTTTAGTTGGTGTTGTGAGTCTTACGATCTTTGATCGTGAAGTCAGAAATATTCTGAAATTATCTGCTGCTGATTTATTATCAAAATATGAAAGGGTATATGTTTCTTATATGCAATACCATCTTGCTAAATACAACTTAATTTTCACACATTGATTTAATTGTTATTATTTATTAATATATTTTTGTAGTTTGGCAATACAAGTCAGTTTCCTATTGAGTTGAATGCCATGATCGACAAAAAATTGGTTTACAAGATTGTTGTCAAGACATTTAATGTTTCAAGATTTGGTCGTTCTTACAACATTTCCAAAATAACGGATAATGTTGACATTATTTCTGCTTTGGAGAAAATTGAGAAAAAGAGTAGGATTGAACAGGTAACTATACACCAATTTAATTAATTTAAAACATACATATTTTGAAAATACTATTTCCTAGATTCCTTAACCCAACATACTGTTTTATTTTATCATTAATTTTATAGGACATGGATACTGAATCTGTTAATATAATTGGCTCAGAATTTGCATCTCAAGAAACAGTGGGTTGTAAGGTAAACTACATTACTACATCATTTACTCTTATATATGTTATCCTTTATATTACTAAACAACATTATTTCTTTTTTTATTTAAGGATGATACTTCCCACACTACTGATAATACTCCTGTGTCGAATATTCCCTCTGGCATATCATCAAGAACAGTCAACAACCTCAATTCACCGCCTACAAGTGCCAAACGTAAACTTGTAGATGTTTACGATCTTGATGATGACGTTTATGAATCAGCAACGAAACCTAATGCACCCCGTATTGGAGATGGCAAAGTTGGTGGAACAACAAAATTGTTGATTCCTAAAGTTGAAAAGTGATCTTGTTTATGAAGACAATAACTTCGATCTTTCTTTGCTACTCTATGCTATTTTCTTAGACATTTTTTTTAATATTTGGCACTTTTACTTGCATTTTATTTGGGATTTTAATATTTAGTGTTTGGTACACTATGAATATTCATTCGTGTTAGGTTTTACTTTTTCTTTTATTATAAGCAACTTGGATTTGACTCTTTATGGGATCATTATATTGCACTTTATATTTGGACATTACATTCATATTTTCTTCATAATCGTCTTTTATATTTCGGTTAATAAAGGCATTTTTATTAGTAGTCTCTTTCACATCCTACAACAAAATTTAACCGGTCATCCAAATACAAAGAATTTTTTACTCTTATTATTGGATATATATTTAAATCTTCACAACTTTCTTTTACAGTCCATGATTCTTATACATAATTTGACTTGATGTATAAGTAATTTTATGCTACATTTTAAATCTCATAATTTGCATAGTCAATTTTGTTATTTATATCAAATACTAGCCTAAAGCTCGTGTTTTACACGGTTTGACAACTTAAAATATCAAAAGTAGAAATGTTGTATAATGTTATAAATAACAAAAATATAGTCACCACTATGGCCACTATAAGTGATAAAATAATAATTTTATAAATAACAATAGTATAGTCGTATATTACAATTTTCCAAAACTTTTAATTGTGATATGATGCAACAGATGTTTATTTTAAAAAAGGAAGATATTTGTTTTCATGAATTTTAATTTTTCTATCTTTATATAGTAGCTTAATTTATGGAATCCTCATTTACGTTTTTTTTTAAATTGATTTTATAATGTAAGAAGTTAGTGCCTAATATGCAGGAATTACTATTAGAATGACATAGAGCAATTATAATCATGAACAAATTTGGTCAATCCCTTTCAATATCACGCTAACTTGGGAAACGTTTCAAAGATTGATTCATGACAGCTAAAATTTTGGAATACTCTATAATTTCAAACCAAACTTTGATATCCTTTCCAAAAATAATTTTTATAAATTACTTATTATGTATAACTCATTCTAATTCATCTGTTATCACTGTCTCTTGAAATATTGAGTTTATTACAACATCGTGTTCCAAATTTTTGCATCATCACAGTGGAAAATCGTGTTTTCAATCACAATCACAGAGTTCAATCATTTCTGTAAGTTTATAAAAAACTACTTTCAAATTTTTTGTTTATCTTTTGTTTCTTTTTGTGTTTTTTTTAATGTGTGCGTTGTTTTTTTAACATCAGTTTATGTTTATCAATGTGTATGTGTGTGTGTACCTGCTTAACAGTTTTTATGTTCCTGTGTGTCCAACTTGATGATGAATTGCAGAACATTACAACTGACCATTCTTTGATAATGAACTACTATACCCTGTTTTCCATCCTAAGTCCTTGCTTTCAACATTGGGATTCAAACTTGAAACCATTTACAGCAATCTAATTAAAAAAATAATTAACTGTTATGCATGTTTCTTTTCAACTGTGTTGTTTTATGTGTTTTCCTACTTATTTGAAAGTGGTTATATTTGGTTTGTGTGATGGAATGGAAACAGGAAAAATAATGGAATGATCTATTATCACTATTATTGTGACTTTTTATTGTTTTGATGTTCATTAATTAAATTGAAAAATACTAATACTTTTTGTTGTCCCCAACTATTTATGATTGATGTATGACCAAGGGTCAAAAGCGTCATTTTTACAATAAAATGTTCACTATTTTGCACATTTGGTCCATATTGACCTAAATGTGTTTTTGCATAGATTCAATCTACTTCCAATTAAAAAAAAATACATATAAATATACTTGACAACTTCAGTGGTTTCATTAAGCATAGCATGTAAGAAGACAAAAGAATCTTGCTTAACTTTTTTAATGAACGTATATCCATTTTACATAAGGGTATTTTTGTCATTTTCAATGAATCTTTCCGTATCTTTGTCTTATTAATCTCTTAATCTCTTGTGCTGAATCTTATATTAAACCAGGTCAAAAATCGACATTCTGGCAACACATTTGACGGCCTCATCTAAAAAACGGGTTTTCCTTCTCTTTTCTTATTTTTATTATTTATGAAATCCTTCCTTTATTTGTTATATCAAAATGAATATAAATTTTTTTGATGCAAGTATTAATATATATGCTTATCTATATTTTCCTAAATCTTTTAAAATTAAGTTTTTTGATAAAAATCTTATTTTAGTTGTTATGTTAATATACACTTCTTTGTTGGAAGTCTTGATTTTTATTAATGTAAAGTATACAATTCTTAAATATTACCAAATTTTAACTACTATATATTAATCGTATTAATGTCTCCGTTTATTATAATTTTCAATTTTAAATTTTAATGAAATTATTGTCAATATACTTTTTATTACATAATTTTTTTGTTCTTAAGCTACAAACACGATATGGATTCAAACGAACATAAACAAAGGCGCAGATATAGAAATTATATTTGTATCAACGAAGATCCAATGTTATGTCCAACTTGTCATTTGGTAATTCTTTATCTACATCTTAATTTACTTTCATATTCAGTAATGTTTTATATGTAACGGCTGTTGAACAAATATTGTTTTATATCTTCTGACGTTTTATCTCATATAATCATTGCATTTTCTAATTAGCCATTCTTATTATTATATATTCAATGTAGGTTATTCTCGGCAACATTTATCATCTTCAAACAATTGTACACATATTCGCAATGACAATGAAAATTTGAATCCAAATATATCATCCGCATATCAACATACAAGTTTCCAACCTACTTCAACTTTTAATATTAGAAATGCATTGTCTGATGCTGCTAGAGAGAACAGAAAACTTAGAAAATTATATTTGGATAAGAAAAGATCTAATCATATGTCCACATCATCTAATGGTATATCGTTTTTTATCGGATAGACTAATTTTTATTTTATACTATATTTTTAATCTCACACAATCCTCTGGATCTTAAATATTATTATGTATTACCTACACTCTTTGCTACATTGCAATTAATTAAACATTATTATTTTATAAATCGCTTATATATATATATATATATATATATATATATATATATATATATATATATATATATATATATATATATATCATTTCTAATTATATCATTAAATTTTTTATTTTTTTTCTTATTATATGTAACTTACACTTATTTGTATCTGCATTATAACTTACATATTTTATATTATTTTACAGTGCTTTCTAATATAACTACCAACATTCAAACACCTTCATCAACCAAGTTTGTCAATATTGTTGGTAACAATGAAAATGTCAGCCCAACTTTGTCATGTGGATATCAGCAAACACGGGTTCAGTCTATTTCGAATATTTATATCGACAGTCCATTGTCGAACAAGGCTAAAGATAAACGAAAAGAAAGGAAAATTTATTTGGATACAAGAAGATCCAATCACATGTCCACCGTACCAATCGGTATATGATATATATCATGCATCTTACTAATTTAATTGTATCCATATAAACTTATTCTAAATAGTGTAATAAGATACTATGTTATTTTACATGTTTCTTAATTGTTCCCTAATTAATACATATTTATATGAACTTATCTTTTATTGATAGGTAATGTTGGTCGTGATCAACAACATTTTCAATATGCTTCTGATTTTTTTACAAGAACTCCGTTGTCCAACATTTCGAATGGTACGACTACGTTTATATTCAACTTACTGTTTGTTACTATATATGGTACACATAAAATAATATGTATTCATTTTTTTATTATTTTTTATTTTTATATATTTACTTTATAAGTTTAATACTAATTGTCATACTTTTATTGTTAGTAAATGCACAATATTCTACCTTGTCCGGTGACATGAGAGCTACGAATTCATCTTCAGTCACTCAAGCTTCTTCCAGCAATTTATCATGCAGAAAACTAAATAGAAAAAGAAAGATTCCAAATATATCTCAGATACCCATTTTGGACCTAACATCAGATGAAGATTTACGTGATCAACAAATCCGTCAACAGTTAATATCAGGTATTGCAAAAGGAAAATATTAATTTTTATTTATAATCCCCTTTTATATTTAAATTATTACTTGTTGCAACATTAAATTATTTCAAAGTTTTACAAATGTTTTTATTAAACAGATTACTTGGACCATGGTGACCAGACATTTGTGTGTACGATGTGTCATGCACAATTATGGACATATGAAGCTCTTAAAGGCAATACTTCCGGAAAGAAAACTTCTTATTCCATGTGTTGTGGTAACGGAAAAGTCGAGCTTCCTCAATTAAAACAAGCTCCAACAAATTATCAAAATCTCTTTCGTAATGTTGATCCAAAAGGAAAAAATTTCATGAAGAATATTCGTCGATTCAATTCGATGTTTTCCTTTACTTCAATGGGTGGAAAAGTTGATTCTTCCATTAATAGGGGCAATGCTCCATATGTTTTCAGACTTAGCGGTCAAAATTACCATTGTATGGGAAGTCTTTTACCTATAGACGGATCCAAACCAAAGTTTTCACAACTATACATATATGATACTGAAAATGAAATAACAAATAGACAACGCGCTTTCAGGTATAACTTTATTAATTTTTTTATAAACCATTACTTTTATAATTTTGATATAATTATTTACTTGCTAAATTTTACATATAACCGTTGTTGTTAACAGTACACAGAACGAAGGTTGCACATCAACTTCTCATTCTCTTGATATTGAAATCATTAGATTTTTGAAGGACATGTTGGATTCGACCAATGAGTTGGTTAAGTGTTATAGAATGGCCAGAGACTGTTTTGATGAAAATCCTCATATAGATCTAAAGTTACGTCTTATAGGAAGAAGGCAACAAGATGGAAGGACATATAACTTACCTACTGCTTCTGAGGTTGCTGCTTTAATTGTTGGTGACATTGGCGATGCAATTGATAATAGAGATATCATCGTAACAACTAAATCAGGAAGTCTACA